AAAGAAAGCCGCGATTTAAATAATCGCGGCTTCATTTAAATTTATATGGCTGCCGTGCTGAGCCGACAAACAGCTGATAAGCTGTTTGTTGGCTCAGCGCAGCAGCCATGTAAATTTAAATGAAGCGGCGATTATTTAAATCGCTGCTTCATTTTCCTATGCCTGGTAGCCTAATCTATATGCCTCTGGCGACAGAGGCATGTAGTCTAGACGTACCCCAAGTGTCCAATACCATATTCTGATTGGCCATTCACCATTTTTTGTGATGTCAGCTGCCAGCCAGGCACAGCTGTGATTTCAGTTCCATTTCATGCCCATTAATGGCTGATCACTTTTTCCTCCCTAGAAATCCCCTTCTCCATAAGACATGTGGGATGTTAAAGCAATCACCCTCTGTCCTGCCATCTGTGCCAGTCTTTCCACCTTTCCTTCTCTTGGTCCCCCCTTCCTGCTTGTGACTTGTCCCCCTTTTTCTGCCTCACGGTCCCCCTCTTTCCTACTGCGACTTTAACCAAAGCTGCCTACCTACTTCTTCAGTGCTGCTCAGCTCTGCAACCTGGCCACATGGGAAAGCTGCTGTTTCCATTTTTAAGTGATCCTGCTGCACTGGGACTTCAGCAGCAGCTTCTGACTCTTCCATTTCTGTCCTCACTTTTCTGTTATCAAAACTAAATCAGGCCCTTAATTTATTCTTTGTAACAGAAAGTAGGACTCAGCAGTAAGTTTTGGTGCACAAACTGCTGCTGAAGATATGGCTGTTGTCGTGAAGAAGTTAGAGTCCAAATATTCCAGGCAACCAAAAACAGTAGAAGACTAATCCCAAAGGTATTAAAAATAGTCAGGAAAGGATTGTGTTTGGCCTCTTTCATATTTATTTTTCCTTAACCTTCTCATAGGAGCAACTTTTCATAATGGAAGGATTGTGGGTTACTTTTCCACTCCTGTCTAAACCCCCATTCCTACATTTTAAATACTGTAGTCTTAAGAAAAAAAATGAAATGTAAAATTAATGACCCAGCTCCAATTGCATCAAGCCTCGATAGAATTCATATTAGTAAGCTATTGGTGCACTTTTCGGGGGGCTGAAGGCTCTCACCCTTCTGCTTTATGCTTCATAACACATTTAAAGCAATCATCCTAGTCTGCTAGTTACAAGCCCTGTTGTAGTTTCTTGCTGTGTTATTACATAGCTAGTGGTTCTTCAGGAATCTGTTACAACTGATTGTAAGCAACACAGGTCACTCTACAGTACATGATGTGATAAGAATATTGTTCTTGCAAAACTGTCAAGGAAGCAAAGCATTAATGGAAATACCATTTCTTAGTAGGATTTCTCCACATTGGGGTTAAAATTATGGATGAAATGCTTCTTGTTTTACAGTTGTCCTTGGGCTTGCTAGTGATTGCTAGTGTTGGTGAATTATTAGTCTTCATAGATTACTGTTTTCGTCTTTTTTCACATGACACAAAGGAAAGTTTGACTGAGTACCAGTAATTGCATGCATTAGCAATATGAGTATTTGCGCTAGGAAAAAAGCATTACTTTGAATATCCTATTTCAAAGTTTATAACAGCTATTCAGTTCAATGTGTATTTATATTTATTGTAGGTGGAACACATTAATTTCTCAGGTTCCACATCAACAGAGGTGAGTATGAAGTCTAAATATGAATTTATCATTTAATTAAACTTCATAGCTGTCATAATTTTGAAAATCCTTCTCTTATTTTCCAGGTTGTACAAGCAATCCAGAATTTAACCCGTCTCTTGTATAGCATACAGGTGAGAACTCTGTTAAATTCATACAGTAATGAATCTTTTAATGTTTCACTTTAAAAAAGGTTTTTAATCTTGCCCCATATTACAATCTGTTGACTTTTTCACTATTGCATAATTCAAATAACATATAACAGGCGTTGATTTATATTATGCTGCAGTGATAATCTCCTTTCAAGAATTTCCAAAGGGCTACAGAGAAAATAAGATGGAGGATCCAGACCAATCTGTCAAATTCCACCTGATCTCCTTTCCAGATATTGTTCAGAATTATGGAAAATTTGGATATTTCAGTTAAAACACTCCCTAGATCATGTAAATTGTATAACTAGCTTTTGCATAATAGAACACCTCCCTCCCCTCTGAGTCCCTTAGCTTTATTGTCAGGAGTCAGATTTGGATATGGTTGACCAGTAATTGAAGAGATTTGTGTAATGCTTAGAATAACCTACTGGGAGTTGGACTTCTAGGTTCTGTTGCCAGCTATACTGCTAACTCACTGTGTGATCTTGGCTATATTATTTAACTTCATAACTGTAAACAGGGTACAATTACCAAGAATGGTCAAAAAGTGGAAAATCCCACATTTCAGTATTAGTTTTCATCTCACATAAAAATGGAAATACTAAAAATAAAAAATATAAACTTATTAAAAATGTTGACATTTACAATTAAAAGGTCAAAATGTGTCATTTTAAAGTGAAATATTTTTGTTTTCCAAAAGAAAAAAATCATTAAAAATGAGACTTTTCTCATGAAAAATTTTAATTTTGATAAAGCCACATTTTTCCATGGGAAAATTTTTCAGTCCAGAAATTTGGATTAGAGCTGCTAATTGCTTGGCTACATCCATTGGTGGTGTGAGACCTAATTAATTAGTTTGTAAAGTGTTCGTGAAACTACATCTACTGTACAAGTGTGCGACAATGCAGTTGCTGCAGTTAGCTGTGTCTATCCTGGGAGTTTCGTCTGTATAATAGGATGTTGAGCTTTTTGAAATCTGTTGATGAAAAGCAACATTGCTGATCTCTCTGCAGAAGCCCTTTTTATTGATTTATTGCACCATGGCATCTAGCACAATGAGGCTTTGAGCCTAACTGGTGCTTCTGGGGATGGCTATAATATTAAAATGAGATGATAATATTCATCAGTAACTAAAAACTCCCTGAAAAGGAGCAAAATGATGCTGTTCATTCCAAAATGTCATGAATGAACACAGAACTGTGCAAGCATGATGAACAGACTCCAAAGAAACACTTGAGCACTGATTAAGGAAAATAATAATATATTTACACAATCTTATATAGAAAATTCCTAACCAAAGGGAAATTAATATTTGTTTTTGGTGACTAGGCAGCCGTAACCATCCAGGACAGTCATGTGGAGATCCATAAGACACTACTGCAAGAGCATGAAAGGACTAGTTGTGGGCACAGTTCTCGTGGAAACCTACTGCTTGACCAGGAAAAATACCGAAATTTGGAAAAACAAAGGGAAGAACTAGCAAATATACAGAAACTTCAGCAACAGTTTCATCAGGAGCAGCAGCGCTGGGCCCGTGAGTGTGACCAGCAACAACGGGAACAGGAGATAAGAGAGAGTCAGCTGCAGGAGCGGGAGAGAGATTGCATGTGTCAGGAAGAGAATCTTCACAGGAACCAGGGAGAACTGGAGCATCAGCTGCAAGAGTTCCAGCAGGACCTAGAAAGGCTTAAGGAGGGCCAGCGGATGGTGGAAATAGAAAGAGATAAGGTGAAGATGCAACAAAAGATATTGTGGCACTGGCAACACAGCCGCCAGAGCAGCTTGCCAGCAACATTGCCATCTTCAGTGAGCAATGAGGTACATAATTTCCCCTCGATAATTCTCCCCTGACTCAGACTATTTTATTATGCTGACCTACACTTGAGATGTTGAAATTGCAGGAAGTGTTCTCTGAGCAGGGCCGGCTCGAGCCATTCCTGCGCCTCGGGCAGCAGGCACGTGACGCATGCGCGACTCTGCCCCCAGACACACAGTGCATGCGTGGCCCTGCCCCTGCACGTGACGCATGCGCGACTCTGCCCCCGGACACATAGTGCATGCGTGGCCCCGCCCCCCTCTCTCCCAGCGCGCTGCGCACCTTGCAGCTGCAATCGGGTGTGCGGTGCCCCTTACAGCTGCCATCAGGTGCCCCCCATAGGTTGGCGCCCCGGGCAGCTGCCCGGCTAACTCCCCCCTTAATCCAGCCCTGTCTCTGTTACTTCATTTGGTAACTTGAGTTGGTGTGTATGGGACCTTGCTTCAGGAGGAACCATGGGCTGGGAGCCCTGCAGAATGGAACTTGGCCTATGGGTTATAAATGTGAGGAAATAAAAAGATTCATCACATCCACATTTTACTCTGCCACTATTGCTTTCCCATTAAATAGTTGGGAAATGTTTTATTTTCTGGACCAAGAGGGGCCCTATTTCTCAGAGGAAGGCTAGATCCATATGTGAGTACAGACTGTTGAGGATCTGACCCTTAGAAATCTCTAGACAGTCGTGTCAGTCCCTTTGCAACAGTGCTGGTGCAAGGGAGCAGTGTGGGAGCCATGGGTGGGGTCAAGGCTGCTTTAGGCCACCCTCTCTCTCAAGAAGCCTCTTGGATGTGGGTGGGAGGAGTTGTGCTGCAGGTCAGCAAAATCCTGACCAGTATAGTGCCTGGTGGGAGCCATCGTCAGTTGACACAATTTACAGAATCCAAGTCTGCTCTGAGATACGAAGGAGCCAAACTGCGCAACGACCCTCCCTCCCCCAACAATCTTGAGAGTTAGGGGCAAAAGAGCGAAAAGTTGACAGAAAACCACGTATGTCCCTGACCAGCCCCAGCTGAGGCTCAGTTCAGGCCAGCACTCAAAGTGAGAAGTGAATGAGGGCCTCTGTCCATTTGCCTACTTATTTGACCTGACCCTTGAAAGCAGTGTGAGCACCAGTGCAGATGGAGATTATTTCAGTTTCCAATGGTGCTTTGGCTCACTGGGCTGGACTTACGAAAAGGCATGACAAAAAAGAGTCTGCCCATCAACTGTAATGGAAGTGTGTGTGTGTGTGTGTGTGTGTGTGTGTGTATTTGAATGTTGCAATGCTAACAGCTCCCTCCACACCCCTCATCAAGTTCCTGTTTTCCATCCCTTTGACTAAACTTTATAAGCTACTCACTATGGCTGAACTTCAGTCTTTGTCCCCAAAGACTGTCTCCAGGGTGGCCTCATGGATTGACCCACCTCTCTGCCTGTTGCAAGATTTGCTGAAAAAGAACACACTGATGGCTTTTTAAAAGCTTCTATCAGTTTGTATCTGGGGTGATTATCTTGCCATGTCTGCTCATTCTTTCCAAGTATCACAGTCCAACACTGACAGATGGACAGAGTAGCAAAAGCTCACTCCTCCCCGGATCTGGCCCATTGTTATTTCCCATTTGGAAAACATTAATATGTTTTTTTTAAGTTATGAATAGAGTTGTAACATTATTTAGCAGTCTCTTGTTGATTAAACATGTTTTATTGTATAAGAATAATGTGTTTATCCTAGTACCTGGTATATAAAGTGGGTTTTTGTTATAAATTTCACCCTTATAGGCAGCTAGTATAAGAGGGGACCTTATGAGAGACAATGATGAAGTGGTCAGCTACATAATTTGCTTGTTTTGTCTTGTGCAGATAATGGGACGCAATCAGATGGAGAGCTTCTGTGGTGAAAATTCATTCTTCATAAATGAAGCTTTAGTACAGATGTCATTAAACAGTCTCAACAGGTCAAATCCAACTCTAGTTTACCAGGATGGTGTATATGGGATAAACACCGCCAGTTCAGAAATAAGCAGGACTAGTGAAAATCCACCAGCAGTCACCCATGAACTCTGGAAGTCTACTGCTCCCTGCCATCAGGTATCCTCCTGCAAAAGCAACAAGGATTCTTGTAATAATGGTAAATAACACTTTAAATCTGCATGTAATAGACAAAACAGGCAGTCCATCACCTCTTAATGGGATTATTTCTATAATTCCTAAAGGCAATTTAGTAGTAAAAGTGAATACTGATAATATTGTAGCAGTGTGAGTGGACATGTGGCTGGTACTTGATCACAGTTTGATTGTGATGATGTGTGAGCAGAGTTTCTAATACAGTGATTTGATTGAGACAGTTCAGTTATGCTGACTGAGGGGAGGCAAGAAAAGGAAGTCAGAGGAATTGAACAAAAGTAGGCCCTTCAGCTACTAAGTTGCATAGCAATTCACTATAGGTAATATTTTTAAAGTGCCTAAATCAAGCGGTGTGGTGAACCCCCAAATAGATATGGGGTATGTTATTCCATTATAACTCAGTCTTTGCAAAAGCTATTCTGTTTTGTGTTTGTATCTTGGATACGACCAAATTAAAGCCTTTTTCAACATGCTAAGGTTTGCTAGTATTTGACATTACTGTATAAAATGTCAAGTCTCCAAACAAGTGGCTACAGCAAGAACCTTCCTGTTCAATACTTGACATTTGTGAGTTAGACAAGTTCTAAATTATAATTTCCAAATTATGATTAGACCTTAGAATAATCCTTGAACATAACCTTGGCTTCAGAACCTCAGTGAGGGTCTACGGAGAATAGCATTGAAAGACTCATCTTAATCATGGCAAGAAAATCACATAATTTCTAATCAGAACCTCAGTGAGGGTCTACGGAGAATGGCATTGAAAGACTCATCTTAATCAATGCAACATAATCACATAATTTCTAGAATAAAGGAATTGTGAACAATAAGTAGCATGAGCATAAGAATAGCTGTTACTGTAGGATCTTCATTAAATTTGCAAAATTACAGAATCTACAACTGGGAAAGATGTAGATAAAACATGTTTGGCTTCTGTTACAGCTGTTGATAGATACTATTTCATAAAATCTCACACTCAATGTTAAAACAGGTGAGTAGAGCCCTGTGTAGATAGAAAATTTGTATCTGCATCTGTATCTGCAAAAATGAGCCATGGATATCCCCATTAGCACCCACAGATGTGGATACCTGTGAATATACATATGCAGGGTTTTAGATACGAAATTTGTATCCACATCTATATGTGCAAAGATGAGCTGCAGATAGGCACATCTGAAGATGCAGATGAGTGTGGATATAAAGCGGGTATCTGCAGATTTTCAGGGCTCTACAGGTGAGTTTTAACAAGTAGTATTGTTCTGTGGATTGAAAATTTGCTGAAGGATTGAAATTAAAGTTAATGATAAACTCCAAAGTATCAAGTTTTTAAGGAGGCAGCTAGCTTGGGGTATCATGAGGTTTTATTTCAGCTTTGGTCTTATTGAATATCTTCCTTGATTCATTACCGTTTGTAAGTCACTCTGATGAACCTGGTAGAAAAGCTGATTTGCTGTATATTTGAGAGAGTTTGTGTGTGTCTGTTTGTTCAAGAACTTCCCCTAACATGGTAAGAGCTCAGACCACCAAATTCAGTTCACAGTTTCCTCTTACTGTAACTTAAACAAGGTAAAGGATTGGTTGTTCCAAGAAAATGGGATATGCCTGGAATTGGATTGCTTTTCATGAAACCATACAGAAAATAGACAGAATCACCAGACAGGTGAAAGGGAGTAACGCATGAAACCATACAGAAAAGAGACAGAATCACCAGACAGGTGAGAGGGAGTAACTGGAGGCACCCTCCCCCACAGCTGGGACTGCCCCAGCCCTGAGCCTCCCAATCCCAAGGTGTCTTTTAGGGAGGGCTGGTGCTGAAGCTCTCCCCCTCCCCCCATCCCCTATTCATATGGGAACATTGCTGCCTGCTCCTCTTTGTCAGGTAGTGAGGGGAAACTGCACAGTTTGCTACATTCTTCACTCTGGCTGGGGAGCACAGGTGGAGCCCAGGATCCACTGGAGACCCCAGGCTTCACAGCACCTGCCCCTTTGAAAGACACAGAGGTGGCAGTTTCAAAGGGGAAACTGCTGCACAGCTGATCAGCTGTACATCAGCTTCCACTTTGAAACGGCCCCCTCCGCCCATTTTAAAGGGGCAGCAGAACCCAGGGTCCAGGGAAATGCCGCGGGGAGCTTGGAGTCCCCAATTGACCCCAGGCTCCATGGCAGCTGCTCCTTTGAATCGCTGCAGAGGTCGTGTTTTAAAGGGGCAGCCTGCCACACAGCTGATCTGCGGATCAGCTGTGCAGTGGGCTGCCCCTTTAAAATGCCTCCTCTGCACATTTTCAAGGGTAGCTGCCATGGAGCCCAGGCTCAGCTGGGGACTCCCCAGCTGACCCTGGGCTCCTAGCGGCATGAAGTACAGCATGGAGCCCAGGGTCAGCAGGGGACTCAGAGTCCCCCACTGACCCCGGGCTCCATGGCTTTGAAATGCACAAGAGCTCCCGCTGGGAACTCTTGTGCATTTCAAAGCAGGCACGCCACGTGCAGCCCGGAATCAGCAGGACTTCCTGCTGGCCCCCGGCGGTACGCGGAGTTCCACATTCCTCGGAAGTGCCTATCAACTAGGCAATGGAAGTTCCATCAACTAATCGACTAGTCAGTTAATCGCATTTTAACATCCTTATCTCCTACTGCCTTTTAAATTGCAGAGCTGCAGTGAGGTTTGGTCCCAGGGTGAGCCGGGACTGAGCGGGGCTGCCTTCCCCTATTAAGTGATCTAGTAGTAGTTAAAAACTCTATCGACTTCTTGATTACTAAAATAACCTAGATTTAACATCCCTAATTCCTATGCACACAGCTGGTAACATTCATTGTGGTTCTTTTGTATAAAAAAACAATTCTAAAGTTTTATTATCATTATTTTCCCTTGATCAGTTGAGGGCAGCTATATTATTTTCCAACTCATTAAAGTAGGTCAATAAAACATGTTAATTGTTAGCAGAATATCCATTGACTCATGTGTATCATTATCCATCTAAAGGTTCAATGCTTACCACACATACAACATTAAAATAATTAGGTGTGAATTCTTGATTAAGCAGTATCAGACAGCTGATGGGCAGCGCTCCATACTGAGATGAGACTGTAGGCATTTCGTATGTAGAAGAGTGTGATTTCTAGTAATACATGATTTTCAGTCTCTGCTGTTAGTGTCCAGTGGAAATCCTGTAGGGAGAACATGTTTTAAAAGCTGGTTGGTTCTCGTTCTCGTTCTCTCTCTCTTCCCCCCCCCCCCCCCCG